AAAACTTTTTTTTTTTTTTTTTTTTGAAAGAACAATGTTATGTGAACATATAAATCTTATAGGAAATTTTATGGTACACGTTTTTTTTGGAGTGTGTATTATATACATCTTTAATTATGATATTTGGTTATGACCTATTGAAATGTTGTTAGTTATAATTTATTATGATATTGGTTATGACATTATTATAATTATGATCCAAAAGTTATTTGATTATATTTTATGTGGTATTTGGTTAGAACTTTGTGTGTGTGTGTGTGTGTGTGTGTTAGTTATGACTCTCATAGAATTGAATTATGACATTTGTGATAATAAACGCTACAAATGACATAACTTGCATATGATACACACCCATAGCATTACCCAAAATCACATAACTTACTTTAATTCAAGGAACCCCTTCAGTAGGATGTATACCATATGTATCTTATTATACATTTTCTCCGTACATATCATTTTCTTGATATAATGTAACATTAACACAAAAATACGTAGGCATTATAAAAAGAAAAAAAAAGTGTAATTTCATTTGTGAATTACAAATTGTAGGAATCCTAATAGAAAATTACGTTACATTTGCTACAAAATTATGTAACATGTACCAGAAAAGTACATAACAAAATGTATATAGTACACACACTTTATGAAAGGGATTTCGGTATTTTTATATAGCATTTTCGTTCTTGAAACTATTGCACGAACCCAAAAAAAAATAAAAAATAAAATCAAATTCACTTTACTATTGTGGTTTAACTCGATCACCCTCTATCATTTTAAAATAAGTACATAACTCTATGTGCTTTGTAGACCAAAGTGTACAAGAGTAAACTATTTTTAAAAACATACTTTTTACACATTCAAATTTACAAATGAATGCCATTTTTCTTTTCCTCTACTATTTCTCTACTCACTTCTCCAACTCAATCTTTCCCACCATTGGTAAAAAAATTAGAACAGTGTAATGGAGGTGGGTAAATGGGGTTAGCTTGGCGATGGTGGTGGGGTGGAGAAGCAGGAGTGGGGTTGATACAAACTCTTCGGTAGAACTCACCATTGAAAATTGACTTACAAAAAGAGGGTGCCTAAGAGGCTTAAATGCACATGGTCATTGCCTTTGGTTTTTTGACCAACAAAGAAAGATCAAAGATTCATTAACAAAGTAAAATACAAGCAAGCATCAACTAGATTAGCAAAGAGGACAGTATAAACTCGTTCCAAATTGCCCAATAAGCTGAAAATAGAGTGTTGGCAAGAAGTCATCCTAACAATACATACAACAAAGCATAAGAAAACCCTCACTCCCACCAAGATAGCTAAGTAAAAATCAACAACAAAAACATCCTAACCGCTTAACCATTCAATTTTCTCAACTTGTAATTTTTGGCACTCTTGATATTGGCTATAAAACCGTGCACAGAAAAACAACCATCTTCAACCTTAGATTTACCCACAATGCAACGTTGAGTTTGGTTCTTTCGCAAATTGCATTCCTTTCCTGCCATAGGTTCCACATGAATGTAAAGAATAATGATTCCCAAATATGCCTTGAATGCTTCTATTGGGGAATTTTCAAAATGGGTTTTAAAATTTATAGTTTAGTTTTTGGTGTTTTCAAAACCTTCCATGTTTTTCTTTGGAAAGCATTAATTAAGCTTGGGAACTTTGTCCCACATCGGAAAGAGAGGAAAATATGGAGCACTTAATAAAGTGCTACATAGAATATTCCTTTGAATATGGAATTGTGAGGTGAAAGCTGGTGTGCATGCACTCACACCGCAATGATGGTGCTCTGCACACGCCCGCGCCCGCGCGGCAGTGGGCTATGTGGCTTTTGATGGCACATTTTGCACTTAGCACGGACCCATCGGCACCATGAGAGCGCTTTCCTATTTGCATCGGACAAGTTAGAGCAGATGAGATGGCACCTGATTGTGATCAGGTGTGATAAGTCAAGGCATCTATTCGGTGTGACAATAATCTGCACCATAGATCGCCGATCCAACGGTCAGATCTGATCGGATGCGATCAAGGGACATGACCATTCAATCAGATGTATCAAGGCCTATAAATAGGCTACGAAATCAGCCATTTCATTCCATCCAAAAATTCAAAATTCATTCTTGCAATTCTATCTCTCTTTCCCTCTTGATTTTGAGTTTTTAATCAAGAGTTTCTTAAGCAAATTTCTACTTTTCTTACTGGTAATCAAGTTCTGCAGATTTAATTATTAGTGTCTTGGTTTTCTTGATTATCTCAAGAGTATTCTGATCTACTGTCGTCAGTGCAGACACCGGTAGATTTGATCTTTAGATTAGGCTTCATTGTATCTTGGAGGCAAATTTGCTAAAACCCCCTGCACACCTTTTGGTGGGTGCAAATATTGTCTTTAGGAATGCGACTAAGTAACGCGACTTGAAGCATTGAATTTCTGTTCTACATAGACACAATTATCGCCAAATTTTGAAGACTCGAAGACCACCAACTGAAGAATTCAAGGCGAACTGTTCCAACAGTTTTTTTCTCGAACTTAGAGGGGTTCGGTGGAAATGGTGTTTCAACCATGGTGTTCAGCTTCGGCCATGGGTTTCAGTATAGGGTGAGTGCTTTGAACATGGGTAGGTTGGCTCAGGAACTTCATTGTGGCGTTTCTTTGTGAGTGGAAGTTTGAGGGATGGATGATCCAGAGTTGTTTAGGATCTTTATTCAGGAGTTACTGTGCGAGTGGGAGTTTGGGGGGTGAATTACGTTCAACTCTATGGTGGTCGGCATTTTGTTCGGCTAAGAGGAGACTGGTACTGGGTCAACAAAGAGGGGATTTCTCGACATGTTAGTGAAGGTCAACCGACGGAGCTGTTTGGGTAAGGAAAATCCGTAGGAGAAATGTGATTTTCGGCCATGGGTAGGTGTTGAGGTGCTGCGGAAATGGGTGGGTCTCGGCGGCAATGGAACCTCAGAGTGTTCGGCGATGGTGTAGGGTGTTCGCCCTAGAGGGTTGGTGCAAAGAAGGCATCACAGGGGCAATGGGAGGCGCGTGCGATGAAGGAGCTGCGGGAGGCATGTGAGGCACGCTTTGTTTAGACAACTTGGAAATAGGTGTGGGGTTTATGAGTAATGTATTTTGGACAGCGTGGGAGACAAGCTTGTGTTTGGTTTCAATGGTTTGGGTGTTGTGGGTGTGGGGCTCAATAGTTTGGTTCGTAGTTTTAATTGTCTTAATTGTTTATTTAAAAAATTTAAATTGTGGGGTCGAGGAATTGGTGGTAAGAATGCGAATAGTAATAATACGAGAGTGTCTTTACTCTTTGAATTCCTCTCAATGTGTCGTGTTTCCTTGTATCTTTAAATTTCATATTTTTAATGATTTTTTATTTTATTTTATTTTATTTTTTTGCCGATAAAAAAAAACTATTTCACGAGAAAAAAAATCTTCTAAGAATTAGTTATTAACAACCTTTCTTACCTTTTTATTACGAGTGTGAATCATATCATGTTAATTGTGTTCGTGTCATGTTATTTCAATTTTGTGTTGGAATTCTCTCAATACTAATTTAACATGTGTGGTGTCATTTTGGATTCTTATCATGTTAATGTGTCATGTCAAAATTTTATTATTTTTTGTTTACTACATTGATTCCAAAATAATAAATATTATACACTTGCCGATAGTAAATATTATACACTCGCCGATCTTTTTATTTTTCTAATTCCAACTAAATTTGATAAGGCATTAGTATACTCACATCAACTCTGATTTTCTTATTTTTACAATTATTAAAATTGTGTCAAGTCATGAAATCAGGTTCGTTCATTAACACTTTCAAGACCTATCACTTATCAAAAAATTATTTGGTGATTTCGGGATATTGTTCAATACCCTCAGAAGTCACACAATTACATAATTTCCTACATTTAGGAATGAGTCCTACGTAATCATGCGATATTCGAAAGAGTGGGACAATACTTTAAGACCATTAAATAACTTATCATGAATGACGGTGTACAATTGATCTTGATAATTGGCCCCAATCCGAACATGACAGTGAGCTTAAAAAGACATTGTGTTTGAGAAGCTAATAGATTTGATATAATAACAGTTAAAATAGTTTTCTAAATTTATAATTTGGTGCTAAATCCAAAAGGATGTCTATCTTGTTGCTAGATAACCGCACAAACCCATAAATTCAAATCACGAGAATGGAAGTTGTTGGCACATCCAGACAGGGAATGAGTAGCGGAAATGGCGATGCTTCAATTGATATGGAGAGACTAGTGAAATCTATTAGGGAGAAGTTAGATAAATTGTCTAGTCCGCCCCCTGAATGTTGTGTATATAAAGTTCCCAAGAAACTTAAAAAAATCAATGAAGAGGCCTATACTCCTCTCCGAGTCTCAATTGGGCCGCTTCACCATGGTAAAGAAGGCCTAGAAGACATGGAAGAGCACAAGTTGAGGTACTTCAATGATTTTATGCGGCGAAGTGGAAAGAGTTTGGAGGAATTAGTCAAGATTATGGAGGAAATGGAAAAAGAAATTCGCGATTGTTATGTAGAAACAATCAACCTCGAAAGCGAAACTTTTTTGGAAATTATTCTTGTGGATGCTGCCTTCATCATTGAAGTCCTATTAAGGTACTGGTTTCCTCGTCTAATAACTCCAAATGATCGTACATTTAGGAAACCATGGATGATTAATGATATAAAGCATGACTTATTACTGCTTGAAAATCAACTTCCATTTTTTGTTCTCCAGTATCTTTTTGAAATGACCAACATAAACTTGGGCATTAACGACTATGAGACCATGTCCGACTCCTTCATTAGTCTCACCCTTAATTGGCTTGAGTCTGTAAGTATCATACAAGAACTTCCAGTCCTAGAGAATGTTAATCCTTCAACAGTAAGACATTTTCTTGATTTGCTAAGAAGTTGTCTCATACCAATGAAAGATTCGCAAGCTTCAGTTCCAGAGGAGATCAGACCTTCAAAAGTAAAACAATTCATTGATTTCCTAAGATGTTTCATGCCAAGGCAAAGTTTGCAACAGACTGAAACGAAATTTAAGATACCAAGTGCAACAGCGCTTAAGATACCAAGTGCAACAGAGCTTCATGAGGCTGGAGTGAAGTTTGAAGTAAGTTCAAGCAAAAACTTATTTGACATAAAATTCAGAGGCAACATTTTGGAAATCCCACATACACGAATAGTTGATGTGACAGAAAGTTTGCTACGGAACATTATTGCCTACGAGGAATATCATTGTGATGCTCAGTTTTTTGGTGATTATACCATGATTATGGATTACCTCATCAACACTAACGAAGATGTCAACTTACTTGTGCGAGCCCAAATTATACAACAATGATGTGTCAAATCTCTTTAAGGGGCTTAGCAAAGAAGTTACCACCAGTAATATATTTTATTTTACTGAACTTCATAGAGACTTAAACAACTACTGCGAAAGTCCTAGCAACAAGCGGAAGGTAACCTTCTACAAGTGGAAGGCAACCTTGAGGCAGGACTATTGCAATACTCCCTGGCGGGTCTTATCTATTATTGTGGCTGTTATTCTCCTTGGACTCACCTTCATACAATCACTATGTTCTCTAGTATCTTGCAATAAGTGATAGATGGGTAGTTATGATTGTTATGTACTTGCAATGTGTTGTATCTTTTTTTCTTTTCTTTTCATTTTTTTTTTTTTTAAATTCTCTTCGTGATCACATGTAACTATTGTTTTTGTGGATGCTCAGACTTGGTTTCAAATGTTTTATGTAAATAAAATTCCTCCTTTATTAACTGTCTATATCATTAATTTTAGCTTGCTTGCCAACTCTTGAATGTCAGTATTTATGGAGCACCATGAGACTTCACTTATGTAATACTGCAAAATCAGTCATATATAGTTTAAAATTTTATGGGTAAAATATGTTCCTATATTTGTTAGCTACTTGTAGACAAATGATGACCTACTTATGATGTGTTTGGATCATAGGTTTGGAAAAGGAAACGAAAAGACAAGTGAAATGTGAATCAAATATAAATTGATATTTCCATCGCCTTTTACTTTCTCTTTTCAAATTCTTATCCAATCCATAATCAAAAGACAGTCTTATTAGTGTGCTTTGTGGTTTCTTATTGCCTGAGAGTACCACGTAAATAATGTTACATTGATACTCTAGTAATCTTTAATAATTTTTCCAAAAGAAATATGTATACTTTTTTTGACATAGAATGATATGGTTAATTATGATTCCATAATTTCAAAATAAAAGACCCGTCATTTGGAATCATAATAATAATAAAAAACCACTCACATATTTTTCGGAATAAATTTTTTGTATGAAAATTTTGTTTGCATATTACAACATTTTCATAATAAGAAAATTATTTTAAAAAAAGAAATCAAAACTGAAAGAACAAAGCATTTGTGAGTGGTCATCCTGCTCTTAACAACTGCCCAAAACTAGTTTTGACTTTGGAGGACAATGGTAGTCCCACAGTTGGGCAATGTTTCTGATTTTATTTTCTTACTCAATTCAATTGGGCAACTTGACAAATATCATATAACCTCTGTTGAACAAAACTGTGATTCAAATATAAATTGCTAATTTTTTTTTAAATGTTGTTTATAGGAGCAGATGTTAAGCATACTCTGATGCATAAGGAAAGATTTCCATAAGAACTTGGGATGTGGAAGCATTAGGGATGCATAACAATCAATTTTTTTTGGGAATATATGTGTAGGTCCTAATAGATGGGTTTATTATTCAATAAGTTTTATGATAATTAATGATATTTTTTTATCAAACAATATTAAAAAGTTTCACTAATTGTTAGTTTTTAGCGTCAGTTTGAAAATTTTATCACAATAATTAGAAGTTTTAGCGACAATTTAAAAAAATCGTCACAAAAAAAAGCCATTAATTTTTAACTTTTAGCGACAGTTTGAAAAATTCGTCACAAAAAAAATCACTAATTGTAAGTTTTAAAAAATCGTGACAAAAAAAAAATCACTAATTGTCAATTTTAAAAAAATCATCACAAAAAATAATTTTTAGTAACGATTTTACTAAGACTTATTGTAGACCGCCCCGAGAACTCCCGGCTCCGCGCTGCGAAGGGTGCGAAATCGTTTTGTTCTTTAGCTACTACAGTTCGAACTCAATGTCACGGTTCTGAATCTAACCTCACAAAGTGCAATATGAGATCGATAAATCACCAAAGAGTTCAAATCCGGCAAATCGTTTTTGGAAAACTGATTTTTATAAAGAAGTGCCAAACATGGACTGCTTTGCCAGATACAGAGTCGCCACCTAAATATTTTATTTTGGAGAAATTTAGGAAACCCTGACTCGTGCCTAAGGCCACGTGTCCGTCATCACCAAAGTTGCCTCGGCTTGGGAACTTGGGTACGAGAGGGGAAGGTCATGCAATGAGCACCCCCGCTCGCCCGATCAAAGATCGGCCTTTACTAACATGATATCTCGTTTTTGAAAACACATGTGTTCTTATTCCGGTTATTAACCTAGAATTACTATGTGATGTGCACAGCATACAAGTATAGACTAAATCGCCTAAATTGGAACAAAACATTGCATGTTCGTTTGTGAAAATGGTTTAAAGTTTGCTACTCGCAAATAGGCTAAAACGAGGATTTTGATGAATTGTTCCAATTCAAGTAATCCAACCTTCACCCACAGGCATTCAGGCAGTTATATCGAATAAGCAATTAGTCTCATGGCAAGCGTGCTAACATGGCAACATACACATCTCATGCAGTATGCTAAAGCGTAAACACTCACAGTGTACTCCGAGCCAAAACAGAGAACTAGTTAGAAATCATGTATGATCCTTGTTCATGTTAAGATGGCTAATGCAACACATGCCAAAATGCAACTAAGATAGGCTCGGCTATCCTAAGATGTCATGCGAAATGCAACTTGGTACATGTATTCAAATTGGAATTGAAATACAATGCAATTAGTATGATGCACCGAGCCCGGTGTATGCAATACAGATAAATGAATGCACGCATGCGAGCATAAGGATGCTAATTGAAACATGCCCTAAAACTAACCATCGTAAGCAGTTAAGTAAAAGGGAGAAAGAAATAGAGGTTGGAAGATATGCATCACACACACGTACGCTTATTACAACAGTTGGCCCTCTCGACGGAGGGTCCGAATAAGAAGCTAACTAGCTAATCTAAGCTAATTAAACTAATTATTACAAGCCAAAACTAGCTAACTAACAAGCTAACTAATTAAGCTATTACAAAACAAATTGAAATAGCTAAACACATTAACTACTTATGGTACAAAACCAAAGCATAAACTAGCTAAGCAAATTAGCTAAGTAAAGCAATAAAATAGGAGCTTCAGAGGGAGAAGAATGCATGCATGCTCGGTCGTCTCGTTCGGAAATCCGTCGCGATGCCCCAACTTGCCTCTATTTGCATTTGATTTCAGAACACTGCAAAAAGCTCCACAAAGCTTCAACTCCACCATTGGAACCTATGGGACGGCTGCCGACCAGTTGTTGAGGAGGGAGACCACCTGTCGACCACTTTTTGTCGCTGAAAACTAGAAAAAGTGGTCGGCCAACTAGGTTTACTGGTCGGTCGACCAGTTGTTGCTGCTAGACTCCACTTTGCTGCAATATAGAGCAAGAAAGGGCATGGCAATGTATTTGCAAGATATGTGTGCACAACCACCCTCCCTATCATTTCATAAGCTCAAAGGAGTGCAGACTGTCACAGCTCATTGGACATTGTTTATTTACTGTTTTGGCTTCCGCCAGGCCCTGTACTCTGTTTTACTATTCTACTGTTCTGCAGGCCTTCGGTAATCTCGGATTACTGGCCGGTTACGGTGCTAAACCCATAGGGCCGGGTTTGGGTCGTGACGACACGTTTCATCACTTCAAATATGAAACGTTCCTCGTTTCTCGTGCTCGGATTGAGACACGTTTCATCACTTCAAATATGAAACGTTTCTCGTTTCTCGTGCTCGGATTAACACTTAATCCAAACAAATGCAAGCAACATTAACACAATGTAATGCATGCAACTCAAGCATGCAAACATGGAATGCGACTCAAGCATGCAAACATGCAATGCAATGTAACATAGCATACTCAATGCTAATGACATGCATACTCAATGCAAAGTAACAAAATGGCATACTCAATGCAAATAACAACATAGCATACTCAATACAATGTAACATGGCATACTCAATGCAATGAACAATATGGCATACTCGATGCAATATAACATAAGCATGCACAATGACAACAACACGAAGACCAACATGCTCAATGGACTTAAACCAAAATGAACAGACCTCAGTCATATCCAAATCAGTGGCCATAACACCAAAACAAAGACATAAAAGCATATACAAGCATGCACATGCATTGGCCTATCAACTAGGCCTAAGAGCACAACTCTCAAGAGTGCTCAAGGAGTGACAAATGTGGAAGTGTAACAACACCAAGTGCACTGAAATAAGGTATGAAATGATGCCAAATCATTCAATCAATACAAGCACAACATGCAAAGGTCCTTAGCATTGAAGCTAACAAATCGGACTACAAAGGGAGCATGCAATACATGGCATAAAGGCATGAACCAAACATGGACAGAGCTTAAATAGGTCTTAACAAAGACCAAAACATGCTGAGATGAGGGCTCGAAGGCCTAGGCATGCAAGCATACAAGCTAAGCCACAAACAAGGCAACAATGCACAACACTCAAAGGCACTTAAAGAGTGAATGAAGTGGGAACATGGTAGTCCTATGTGCTCTGAAATATCATGATAAATGATGCCAAATCATGTACATGATGCAAATTAAGCATGCTGTGGTGCTCAAAACTCAAAGCTAACATAGGCACTTGTACTACAACTATGCAAAACATGAAGCATATGGCTAAGGCAACCTAAACCAGTCCTAGAACATGTCAAAATGATGCTAAAACATGTGTGGAAGAAAGCCAAAATAAGCTAGTATGAAGGGCATAAGGCATGGAATATGCAAGGCCAAAAGGGAGGGTTACACTACACCTACCAAGACCAAGCATGGGATGGCTTCGCCAACAAAAACCAGAGTTATATCATGGCATAATAACCCCAGAAACACACTGAAATGATAGCTCGCAAGCTTAGGCATGAAGGCATACGCAATGATTCATGTTTAAGACATAAAGAGCAAACCCTCCAACGCATTGAATAGGTAAAAGATGTGAGTGTATGGCCATGAAACATGCACTGAAATCTCATAATAAATGATGCCAAATTATTCAAATAGGCCAAGCAATGCATGCTAGTGGACTCGATACACAAAGCTAACAAGCTAGAATGCACTATAGCTATACAAAGCATGGCATGCATGACCAAGACAACACAAATCAGAGCTAGAGCATGCTAAAACATAGACAGAAGCTTCTTGAAGTTAAGCCAAAAGAATGCTAGAATGACATGTTAAAGCGTGATACACCTTAGGCAAGTTCATGGAATTGCACTACAAGTGCATGAAGCATGCAATGGCCAACCAAACCAAACCCTAACAGAGGTATGACATGGAAAAATACCACCCAAAACATGCTGAGATGGACTCAAATCAACCTAGAATGACATGCTACTTCATGAAGCATACAAGACTAGTTTATGAAATTTGCACTACAAGTGTA